CGTGCACAGCTCACCATATGACTGTCTCATGTAGTGGACCACCAGGACACAAGTAAACTGAAGACCTTTAGATGCCTGGCATTGAACTTCCCTTTCACTATTCCCATCCACAAGAGCCTCCCAGGCCACCATTCACAAAATCCAAATTTTGTGTTTTGAGCAGTTCTCCTCACATCCTTAGCTCCAAGATCTTCATAGATTCCAATATGTGAAGCATAGATCTGTCCTTATTTACAGCAAAAAGCAAGTGACTGAATGTAAAACAACGTTTAATAAATCTGCAGAGCCTAAAGTACCAATATAATTCCAAGCAGGAAGATAGACATGCACTTCTTAATTAAGTGGGTGATGTTCTAGTTAAAACAAAAAAGACAACCCTGGGCCATAGCTAAGATTAAGCACATTCTCTTGCAAAGGAAGCTCTGACTGTTATCAATGTAAAGGCTTTAAATCACAAAAAATAAACCATCTAATAGTCTGTATTCAACAGTAACTAGAAAGTCAGGACACAGACTGATTTGGATTAACACATTTTCAGTTATAACAAGTAATTTTACAGAGGATTAGTATCTTGATGGTCTGATCAATACTAGGCACTGCTGCTATTACAGATGAAGAGAAAATTACCCCTCCAGTAATAAAGTGTGTGTCTCGGTTCTCCTTCATTTGCCGAGTCCATTACTGTAATGGTTCCAGCATTAGCAGCTGAGGCAATTTAAACAGCAGGAATGTGATGAATTTAAAAGCAAGAAACATTCGCCACTCATTCTTTCTTGTATTTTATTCTGCATATGCAAGGCTTCTACCTGACCATTTCCAATATACAAATCATGTGTTATGTGACTATCAACACTATTTCTTAATTATTGTCCCATTAATAATGGGAAGGTCCAATAATGTGATTACCACAAAAATTGCTACTGGCATATTGGTTGCTGATTCTGCTAAAACTTGCACACCATTTACCTAAGCAGAAATATGACATGACAAGAAGCTTATTTAACTGCATCTAAGCTGTTTCATTAATTTTTCTAAATACAATTTCTAAAAGAATCTAATCTGTCAATTAGAAAATTTTGTTTCTTTTGGCTTTTTTTAATAATGTTTTTTGTCTTAAGAGGTAGAACAATAAATGGAAACAATAAATCATTGTAACATTAGAAAAAAACATGGTAACAATGTTAAAGTTTTTAAACTTCATTGTATGGTATGGGCACCATCTTTCAGCATTAATTCTAAAACCAAACCCTTAATCATGCATTGAAGTGCTTTGAGAATACTTGTCTAATTTTCCTTGAGCATTAATATGTTGAAACAACCTGTTTTACCTTGTGAAGATGTATTATTTTGCAGGCAGCAAAAATGAGGATGATGCAGGAAATAAGACCTTCAATGATATCTCAGCTGAAACTCAGTATATTCCCTTTTTCTCCTTGTAAATAAAATACATACAAAGCTGTGTGTTATTTAAAGCTTTATATTTCCTTGCCACTTTGTCCAACATGCCTCACAAATGTGATACTGCATATGAATATCTTTGTAAAAGCCCCTGTGAATATTCAGATACGTGCACATTGATGCATTTATTATTTGTACAGCAATAAATTTATTGGACTGGGGTCCCAGCTGTGCTGGGAGCTGTACAAACATAACAGTAGTGTCTGTGGAATACATTCTTTGCAGTCAGCATTCACAGTAATGTGAATTAGCATAAACAGCTACATAAGGTAATTGTGAACTGGGTTTAATGGTCTATTCCAAAGACCCATCAAGGTAATACCTTTAGTTTAAAAGAAAATAATACTCCACACTAGCTGAGTATCTTCTCTTTCATCTGGTAATGGCACAGGGTGTTAACATGCAAAGAGTGGTAGAGGAAGCATATACAGGAAATAGCTAGAACTTGGCCTCTCTCATACTGAAACTTACTTTAAAAAATCCACTTTGAATAAACAAGTCTCAAGAACATTAAGTCTTACATTAAATAATAACTTTTTAAACTCATCAAACAAGATAATAAACATTCTAAAAGCAACAAGTTTTCTTCCCAAGTCTATAAGGAGTAAATAGCTTACTTAGATCACCCAATAGGAAATCTGTTTGATTTTACTTTGCATAGTATATTTCTACACCCAGTGAAAAAGAAGTGACCAATTCTGACCAACAGGGTGAAGAAAACAGAATCAAAATAACTATAAACTGTATTATTCTAAGCTAAAACAAACAAGCATGAACAACCCCTCAACAGACTGTTTCATAAAAATGCCTTTTCAGCTAATGAGCAACATCTACTCTAACAGTTCTGGTTTTATGCACAGAAGTAATATTTGCTATGGGGAAGACCAGAGTAGCTGATGGCTTGCAACAGCTTCAAAGGTATCTTTAGAAACTTCAGAATAGCTGTCTTTTGCTGTCCACCTAAGACTGAGAGAAATATTCTACAGGACATTAGCAATGCCCCATATGGTGTTTAGAACAGATGAGCAATTAACTTCTGACTACGTTTTCCTATTTTTCTTTCAGACCCTCTTCCCAAGAATGAATTTGCATCCTCCTCCTCCTCCTCTTGACTCGGAACACCAAATACTAGTACAAACAATTGCATTTCTGCTACACATTTAATCTTACTCAACCCAACTGAGTGATCTGCAAAGTGGAAACTGCTGTATGACAGCACTGCACTCTACAGAACTTCTACCACATGTACTTGGAACAGAAATGTTCTTCTATAACAGCAGAAATCAAAACTTGCTATGTACAAGAAAATTCGAGCCAGAAAAAACTTTATCACTTATAAGAAACATACTACATAATTACAAAGCAAAAGCCAATCAGTGGGATTCTGATAGACAGCATTTAACGGTACACAATTATAGCAAAACAAGAACTTTTATTCAGGATTTAATTCTGGAAAACAAGAGTCATTGCCAGAAGACATAATCCAAACCAGCTTCTTTACCCAACCACTTCCCTCTCAGTAGTAGGCCTCATAAATCTTAGTCTCTAGAAGAGGTTGGGTTAACCTCACTAATATTCAGTTTGGAAAAAAAGTATTTTAACCCATTCTTAAATGGAATTCTTGGCAGAACTATCACAATAAAGACACTCTTCCTTTGTCTTCAGAATTTCTCAGGTGACCAACATAAACTAGGGATGGCTAAACCTAAGGATTGAAGGGTGACTTGGCACACTGCCAGGAGCCCAGAGATTAAATCTCCAATTGAGTTGTAGAAAATTATCAGTATGAGGATGCTTCCATGGGAAAAAACCCGCTTATGCTCCTTCTAGCATAGCCCCTCCTTTTCCCATTGCTGCTTTCTCCTTTGGCAGGCTTTATTCTAAGACATTCCACAGTCTCATTTTTGCTTCACTTTCAATACACTCACCTTCTCTCAAATAGTACCCAGTTTACCACATCTCTCTAAGGCATTATATAATTATTGAAACCTTTAAATTCTCTGTAAGAATCTTTTCTCTTTCATCCTTCTCTGTCTGTGCACCTACAACACCAAGTTGTGTCTATAGCAGTACTCTTGCACTTGAGGTCAAGTTCTTCTCATACATTGTTCTTGACAGCTCTTCAAGTGCCTTTCCTCCCACAGCCTTTGCCAATGTGGTTCACAGCACCATCCTTTCACCCCTCACAGGTATCCCTGAGCTATTATCTTATCAAGGGCCTCTATTCTCCTAATGCAAATGATTCCCGAATACATTCAAGACCTATTAACAAGACAAAGGCCCTTGGATGGACAACACAAATGTACAGGCTAAAAAAAGTATGGGTTGAGTTTTTTTCTGCATCGTATTGGATGGGACATCTGCATATGTTTTGACATACATGGAAAGGGCAGAACACAAATGTAACACTGAAATTGCTGTCCCCAAACAACTTAGGATAGCAGAAAGACAAATTACAAAATGACCAGGTAGTCCTTAAGGAGTTGTTATGAAACTTACTAGGGCAAAGAGGCCTTGAAGTTTTCTAGTAAAATACTTAGTTGCAAACTTACATCAGACCTTTTCCCTGCCTTTGCGGGGAATAGTATATTTAATACTGAATAGTAAATTATTAGCAATACCAAAGCCAGCATGTTCCCTGTTCAGATGTATGAGATTAGCCTTTTCAAAGGCATTTTCTAAATTTATAATGGAATTAGCCTTCTTTTCACTAACACCTCTAATATCAGTACCGTGCTTTCAAACAAGTCACTTACTGGTTCTCAGTACTACTGTTTTGTAAACAAAACCAGCAGAAGTACAACAACCATCAAGAGCTGAAGTAAAATATTGTACAATGTAGTAAAACAAGCCCTTGAAAGGCACCTGAAACAGCAAACATTCAGCACTCCTGTTTGCTTCCACAGACAGTGAAATAAGCATCTTCAATGCAAGCATGTAACAGCGCTGCATCTAAACACGTGAACAAGAAAAGAAACATTATAAAGCTCGGGCAGTATAAGAGACTTAAAAATATTTATTTAGGTGAGACTTAGTGTAGAGTACTTTTAAATTTAAGAATTAGGCGCAATTACACCATCTCACTGTGAATGTGTCGACACAAACAAACACACAGTCCTTGCATAATTTTTTTCCTATACCACAGAGCTCTTTAAAATTGAAATATCTTGCCCAGGCGGCACACGCCTTTACCACTAGCTCCTGTTAACGCTGTAGGAGATGCCCCTCGTTCAGGGGAGGGGGGATCGGACATTTCCAGGTCAAGCAGAGCCCCCTGCCCGGGCAGCCCGGCGGGGCGGTGCTGGGCACACGCGGCCGTGCGGAGCTCGCCCCCGGCTCCGTCACCGCGCCGAGCTCGGGGCCGGGGCTCCTTCCTTCTCACAATGAACTTCACGGCGGCCTCGGAGTCCCCGAGCTCGGGGCTCCAGCACTGGAGCTACCGGAGCCCCGGCGGGCTCTGCCCCGCACAGCGGCGGAGAGGGCTGGCCATGGGCACACACACTCCTCGGGGCTGCGGGGAGCAGGAAGCAAACGGAAGGTACCTTCAGTTCTTTCTCCCGCTCCCCTGCTCTCCTCTTCATGGTGCCGCCTTTGCCGTCCGCACGGAGCGGAGCAGCGCACCGCGGGAGCCCGCGCAGCTCCGCCGGCAGCAGCCGCTCCGCGGGCTTTGCGCGGCCCCGCCCCGAACTCCAAGTCCCGGCAGGCCCAGGGCGGCCCGGAAGGGGAAGGGCCCGGTTGGCAAGAGCGACAGCGGCTAACGGAGTGCTGAGGAACCCGGGGCTGGCGGGGGCTGTGAGTACGGGGGGAGCTTCTCCTCCTCTGGGCACGGCGTGGGGAGGACCGGGGCGCTGGAGCTGCCCGGGGCTCTGGCGCCGTGTCCTGGAGCGGGCGGTCCCCGGGCGGGCAGGCGAGGAGCTGGCGGGACCCGCGCTGCGGGCGGCGGTCCCAGACCCGAGAGGCTCCTCGCTCGGTGCCCGTGGGAAAAGGCTGGGAGCCTCAGCGTTTGGTTCAAAATAGCCCTGTAGGCCTGTGTTTTGTACCGGGAAAGGCTGCTGGGCTGAAGCGGGAGCGGAGCTCCCGTGCCCGAGGGCGGGACAGCCCGGGCGGTGTAGGCGTTCCCTCATGAGGCAAACGCTGCCTTCCGCGCGACCCTGCCCCTTCCAGCCCCGTCAGTCTCCGCCGAACTGGCGCGGCTGGATCAAAATCGGGAAGCTTTGTAAAATATGTTGAAGGCAAGACACGGTTGTTTGGATTGTTTCTGTGTTGAAGTAGGACTTACAGGTCTGAGAGATGTTTCTTCCCTCAGGCAGCAGTGGGATGTTGTGATCCCGTTTCCTAACGTCTTCCGTATCTTCTCTCTTTTTTTCCCTGTCTGCCTCCTAAAACACACAGCACTGCAACACATGATATTTGAAAGATGGTATGTGTGTGTATTTCTACCAAGTAATAAATGAGATTATTTTAGGTTACAAGACCAATAAAGTGCCAACATGTATATTTTAAAGACTCAATAGAGAGAGAACATAGGCTGGAAATACATTATGATAAGCTAAGATAGGTGGGTGGTCCCTCCCACCTCCTTTTTTAAATTCCCTCTACCAGGGAAGTGGGATTTTGTAACAAAAGGATCATCTTGGCTGCGTCTGACACTCAAATTCAAAAAACATGTTGAAACAATTAAGTTGTAATTCTTATGATTTTGCTAGAAACCACCTCACTGGAAGTCGCTTATAGACCCATTGGCTGAGAACTTTCAAAAAATGAAGTAATCCCCACTCAGTTTTGCTACCTTTGAATGATGTTGGTACAAAAGTACACTTCTGTGAGTTATATAGGAATCTGGACCTAAAGCATGAGCTTTGATAAGTATTAATTTTATTAGTGTCAGGCTTGTATAGCAGTGCAAAGTTGTGTGCAGTTTTTTGTAGTAAATTTTCGGATACAGGTAGTGATAGAACCAGTTTTGTAGGTAGTGAAGTGTGTAAGAGAGTTACAGTTTCTTTAACTTTAGTAGTTATATTGAAAATTCTTGCTTATACCTAACTTGAAGTTCTTACAGGTTAATCCCAGAGATATGGGGAATATTCCTCTCTTTGTACATTGAGCTCTGTAGTTTTGAGAAACAATCTGTGCTGAAGTGATTGTAGGGTATCCTTTCTTGGAAATAAAGCCTGGTTTTAGTTTTTGAGGTTGAGGATGGCATGTGGATCTGTCCAGATGCAAATACAAATTTATATCTCTTTCACTTTGTTATGCTTTCTTTTAGGAAATGCTGCACTTTTAAGTACCATAATTTTTGTTGCAGTGTTGCTGTACAGTTTTGTCAGATGTAATCACTTTGGAAATGCTTTCAAAAGTAATACAGAATGCTGTGGAGAAATCTCATATGCTTTTAGAAGTTATGCTGGAACTGGACTGCAAAGAAAAGTAATTTTGTTTAAGTGTTTGTGATTGACACTCAGATAATATTCAAAGAGGAACTGTAACATATGTAACACATGCTTTGATGTTTGAAGTGTCCTCTCTCAAAGCAGCAGCATAACTGGTGGTTATTAGTGATTATTAAAGACATGGGTATGTTACTAATCAGGCAAATAAGTTGCCAAGCCAAATTCTAAATCTGTAATTATATTTGGCCTCCTTTAAACCAGGAGGCATGTTTGTACTATTTCTGTCTAAAACCACTGTATCTGATAAAACCAATTAATATGGTTGGTTTTTTTTCATTTTCTTTTTCTGTGGCCCACGACAGAAAAGATAGCTGAATGCTTAATTTCTGACACTTTGTAATGGAAATGCAACAATTCTTCCTCTTCCTTTTGAAAATTTGACCTTCTAAGTTTTCAGGACACTTTAGTTTGAAGTTGCTTTATTTTGACACTTCAAACCATGTCATGTTGCCAGGAATAATTGGCTTTGTGTGCATCTCTGCTGTGTTAGTTTGCTTACAGCTCAAGTATTTCTGTGGGTTTGCTGCAGCCAGTAATCGATTACTTCTGACAAGAGTTGTTTGTTTATTTGAGTGACAAGCGTGTGTTGTTTTGTCTCTGTTTTTAAATGAGTAGATTTCTCTCATACTGAAGATAACAGGTAGATATCCATAGTAAAGTTTCTTCAGCATATAGTGAAAACCAGTAATGTTTGTCTGCCTGTCACTGTTCTGGAGTTTTTAAAGCCTGATTTTCATAGAGCACAAACATTGTGGAGACGTGCTGATAAAATACTTGTTCAGCTCTTGATGCCCAGAAAAAGCCTCTGTCATTTTTGATCTGTGAAAGCAAGGACAACCACATTCTAGAAAGATGTACTGGGGTAGCATCTTCTCCTTGCTGCCACCATGAACCAAATTTAGCTGATCCTCTGGAGGTAAAATGTCTGTTTCCCTTTGATCTCAGTTGCTGTAGCCATACTGGTACAGGGACATATAACAGTAACCACAGTAATGAACCTAGACTTGAGTGAAGCCAATGACTGCAGATAGAGCTAATTTAACACATTACAAAGAAGTTTGGAGGATTTTGTAAGAGCAATGCAAAAAGAGCCAAGGATGCTGCATTCCAGTGGATATGTGTTTGCATTGGTTGCCAGTTGTGCCATCAGCTGAGTGGTGTGGACGTCAACATCCCAGAGTAGTATCTGTCACTGACAACATTGAAACTGCAACCATATTGCAAGTCTGCAACTGTAGATCAGTTCACTTCTATGGTCATGATAAGGAAACATTTGTTCCACATGGAAGAAAAATGTGTTCCTGTTTATTCATAAACAGTCAAGTCTGGAAATAATATTTTATCATAAATTTTAGTGGTGAAAAAACCAAAAGATTAAAAGCAAAACTGACTTTTTGGAAACTAAATTTCCATTAATCCCTTTTGTTTCTTTAGAACAAAGCCATAAGGAGAGTTATTTATGATGGAAGAAAAAGCTTAGGCAGCACTTTTGATTATGATTGAATTAACAGATATTTAATGGAATGTCTGTTGATTGTACCATGTTGCTTCTGCCCTCTGATGCAAGTTTCTAGTAGCATCACTGTTAATTTCCCAGTGCTTTCCTAAATGGTTTTGAATTGACTAAGGATTTATGTCACCTGGAGAGTGTAACAATGGTTTTGGGGGTAAGACTGTCACAAGGACTTCACTTCTCTCCTTTTCCTGTTGTTTCAGCATTACTTGACTCAGTGACCAACATGTAATTTTCTGCACCAGAAGACAAGAAGGAAACAGCAATTTTTAACAAGTATGTTCATATATTACACCAAAACAAAAGTAGTACTTCTTCACATTAATACTTTCCTAGTCTCACTATGTCATGTAGCTAAGCTTTCTGATGCTGCAAGATAGAATCATGTTCAGATTTATGAGAATCATTCATAGGAGAATTTCTGTCTTAAAAAGTAATTTCTTATATGACAGTAATTGAAAGAAGATTAAAAGACAATGCCAGGCAACACTGAAATGATTTCATAACCCCGAGCACCTGTTTCAAAGAGTTCCATTCAAAACATGGAAGATGACATTGCTCATCTACCATTGGAGGCCTTAAGCTTTTACTTCTCTTAAAATGAACAAACAATTAAAAAAACCCCAAAAAACCGCAACTAAACAAACAACCCGCAGGTCCCCTTCCCACATCCACTTGGAAATATGGCCTTAGCCCAGAGATTCCTGAAAACAGCAGAACTAGAACTTCAGAAAGCTATTTGTACATGTGTTAGATAGTATTGGAGCTATTGCACAACAAAGGTGATCTTGTGAATGGATTAAAACTGGCATAAAATTAAACTTGAGAACTTCAGAGTTTAGATTGTCCTCTGAGCAATCTAGTTGAGACAGGAGCATTGAGAAGGCTGTCATTTCAGTGAATCTGCCATAACTTTTGCCATCATTTCATATGGTGTATTATTTGTTCTAGTCTGAGTTTAAATAACAGATGAAGAGGAATTTCATTTGAATTTTGTTATCCCTAGATAAGCCATGCCTGTTGCAGCTATGTAACTGTGGGGGACCTGCCTGTGAGACATACAGGTCTAACTCCAGCTGGAATTGAAGGATTACAAGGTTTGTACCAGCTGCTATTTATTAAAGCTACAGACTTTGATCAGTGGCTTCTTTAGTTTCTTTCTAAAAATGTTTCTGATGTTGCCACTCACAAAATTAAGTTCAAATACCATTCAAAATCTGGGTTAAATTGTGAAAGATGCTGTGACCCATTCTATGTTCAAGTTGCTTGTTATAAGAGCAGAGTTGCTGTGAGATGCTAAAAACTGAAAATGTCATTGAGCTGTAACATTCACACATCCAGAAGAAAAGAGGATTTTTTTGCTGAATTGAGGACAAAGCCAGATCCATTTCACAAAATGGGAACCAAAAGTATTATGCAATTCTGCTATATTACTCAGCTGCTATTAGAATGGAACAACTGGGCTTAGTCTTGTATCTGAGTAAATTTACAGAATTATGGATTAATATTTTCAAGATTCAATATAATATTTTCGTTTTGGAACAGATTAGAAAGAATGGTAATACTTATTTTGAGATAGTATCTTTGGCAGAACCTGGTTCTGGTAAATTGTTACCTTTGTGTTGTCTAGTATGAAAACATGTTGCTGTATAATTTTAATTACTTTTTTTTTTTTTAATCTGTAAGAGGAAGGAAAAAGGA